TTTTAAACCGTTTTACGGACAGTTCGCCTCTCATTATCCGTTTGCCGAAGTAAGCATCTAACGAACGATATCGAAAATATCGTCAGATACTTCGGAAATGATCCTCACCAAGACCAAGACAGGTCACTAAAATACAGCCGAAAAGTGCAAATCAAGAATCTAAAAAGAAGATGAGTAAGATAAGGATGAAGCAGTTTGTCAGCTTTTATAGATTTTCGAATATTTGAGTTTTTTTGCCAGTGCAAAAGTTTTTTTTCGAGATAAAAAGGAAATAGTATAAAGAAAATGGCAACAACTGGCAAGTCTTTGGAGTTTTAAGCCTTCGTGGAAAACAGTTACGTCTGGGGAAATTTTGAGCAAATTCAGAGCCCCTCCTGTTTGAGAAACTTTAGAAAAAAATCGCTCTTGCATCTAGATAGCCCGATAAATTAATCGGGTTCAAGCAATGCCGGCGAAAACCTTTTTTGCGGATTTTTCGCAACGAAGGTCATTTTTGAAATTTTTCTTAAACAATCTTACTTCTAAACTTGATGGTGATGGGATCAAAAAGCGACCACCAAGTGTGGACCATAATATTCTAAACTTCATTCTTTTTCTCTTAAAAATTTTTGGAAATTATCAAAGCATAAGAGGATCGCTTTACAATATCACATGTTATATGCTGTTTTAATTATAGTAACAGTAACTGTAAAACTATTTAAAAAATGTTCGGTTGAAAAATTCACAATTGACGTTTTAATTTATCAATCTACTGGATTGACTCGTCTGAGTGAACCTCTGCCATTTCATAAGAATCTAATGTAACCTGATGACCCTAACGATTAGTTCGTGATTTTTTGAATGGAGCAACCACGATATCGACAATAATGCTCGCATATCGAATCCTAGACACTGGACAATCACATAATCTACAACATACCATACATAAAACTGTATTTGTCCTAGTTCACAAACTAAAATGGAATATTTCATGACTGCCTCGATTATTTGCTCCTAAGCATTTGATCTCCTAATATAAATCGTTCTAGAAGGAAAATGAACATCCTTTGCGTAGTATCGCAAATAAATTACAGGCTTAGTCGTGGTATCCCGAAGCCACCACGTCTCGAGGTGGCCCCTTGGGATCCGCCCCTGGAGACGATTAAGTATAGGTGTCGTGCCGGCCTTTGTATACATCATTGGTGTTCCTCCCTCGCGTTCTGATAAAAGATAACTGATTTTTCGGTAGGTTTCTCCGAAATAAAACATAAAATCTTAATGATAGCTTGCGGTTTCGTTTTGGGGAAGAAATATCGAGTTACTCGACGACTTTTTGGTACGAGACCTTTAATCACGTGAGAAGAATGCTGAGGAATATGATACAATATTTTATTTTTAAGTAAGAATAAACATCGATACATACCTGCAGGAGATGAACACACTTCGCTTCAAGATGACGCCAAGACAAATAACCCTATAAAATCTTCACTTTCCATTAAGGAAATTAGGTATAGCTGATGTACTTGTTCGCTTAATTGCGCCAAGAACTTCATTCAATTTTATTACTTATAGAAGTGGGAAAAGATTGCTTCCAGATCTTCCTGCCGTAACGAATGTTGATATTTTTTCCATCGGATCATCTTAACCAACCATTAAAGCTGTGCCTTCCACAGATCCCCATATATAAAGCGAGTTTGGCCCTCGGCAAAATGCGACCCCCTACTGAGTGTTCAAAATGAGCAGTCCCTCATTTGCGTTCCCAACACAAAAAGTCTGCCACGCTGTAATCAAAAATACTTCTTCTGTCTCGTTATGGCCGATGTATGAATTATCGCCCGGTCGTTATTAAAAGTGTGGACTGGACCTAATTAGTTTTTCAATTTTGAAGAATGTGTGAGGATACTTTTCCCCACTAACAACTGATGCGAAATCATTTTTCATCTTGAAGACCACGTCAATATTGTGTAAAATACAGTAAGTTAATCAATTTCTGAAATGGCGTATAGTATGAGATTTAGTAAAAAAATGCTGCTCTATTTGAAAAAATTAATCATGTAATTTGTGTGAAAGTATGATAATATACAGAGTGTTCGGATAACGTACACACTTAGATGGAACTGACAAGTGTAATAGTAAAAATAAATATTGTGTTGGATTGTAAGTACTCATCAAATTACTGGTTTACGAAATAAATTAATAAAAACGTTATTAAATAAAATAATAAAAACGTTTTGTTGCGTCACTAGAAAGCACTCCTAAAAATAAATGAGCAATCAGCAGCAAAATACCTTTCCAAATTATCGAACTAAACTATTCAACAAAATAAAAGTTACTTGTCCTGACTGAAACATCTGATTGCTGCAAAGCGATTTAACTTTTATTTAAAGCGATATACGCGATATATTTAAAGCTTTTTTTTGCAAAAATCAGACAAAGTTCCTACGGGGTAGAATGTGAAACAATGCAGCATTTCTGCGAGTTTGTCATGTCAAAAAATTCTAAGATTTTAACGCCAGAAGCATAAAGGTAGGCCTGATATATCAAAAGTTTTATTTTTTTTGCTTAAGTATCTTGTTGACTTACAGGATAGTCTAAAAAATACACTTTTTAGTCTTGCAGTGACAACATTTACGTTTTTGGGGCGATTTTCAAGATTTAAAACTCATGGCTTAGAAGGTGACATGAATAAATGGATTTTTCTCTCACTCTAATTGAAACTTTTCTATTAAATCCCGAAATTCGGGTGCTCTTTTGATCTGGATAACGTTTAATGCAATCCTATAAATTGAATTTTGAAGTCGATTATGAGGTTTCAGCTGCTACATGAGCTATAGATGTTGAAAATCGGCCGAGTAGGACACATTTTTCCAAAAAGTTGCTTTTTTGCGTCACCCTGTAAATAAAAATAGTATACTAAAAATTTCAAAACTGCCTTGAGATATTCGGTCTATCTTTACGCCTCTGGAGTTGTAATTCAAAAAAACTACATTTTGTTTAGTTGAGAGGATGCCAAACTTTCAGAATAGTTGAATTGTCCTCCACCTTGTAGAAATTGTACATGTAGTTGTTTGTAAAAACCACTGCAAAAATAGAAAAAGAACTGGACTAGATAAGGCTTCAATCAGCAATAAAATGCCTCGCAGCAATCATAAGTGATCCAGTTCAAAACTTCACGATGCTTTTAAGCTTCTGTCACAGTGTTTGTAGTTTGCACCACTCGATAATTTTTTCTTTCTGGTATTAGATACAGAGATAACCGGTATAATGCTGCATGATTTTCCTGGCTTTGAAGTATTTACGCAATATCACTAAAATACGTAAATTTTTAGAACAATATAAAATTAATTAGACATACAAAGTTGCATTTTTACGCAGCTTCAACGTTAAAATAGTTGCGTAGGAAATTTAAACAACTGCTAAACCAATGTAGTGCTGGCCAGTTTTCAACTCGTTTATCTATTTTTGCAAAATTTCTTTACCCTGTTTTGGTCCTTCATGAATCAATAAAACGTCGTCCTAAAGTATTTTAACTATTTTTTATTTTTAAGTATTTTAACATAATCGCTACATCAAAATTGTCTCAAGTAACGAAATCTTGAGCTCTTCGATGCATTTCACCATTTCTTAACTTTTCAGTTTTTTGCTTTAAAAATTAGATTTTTTGGTTTTCTGAAATGCATAGGCAAATAACAATAACGAGAGAAACAGTCCAATCAATAACCAAAATGAGTTAACTAAAAACTGCAATAATACTAGAATTCCAAATTTAATTCTTAATTAGGTTTCTTCTATTTTAGGAATACAAAAAATATACACAGCACAAACAATAACAACATAATTGTATAGGTTTAAAAAATAAATTTGCCTTGAAAATTCAGATTTCCAGTCATTCCTTCGCTTTGCATATCATTTGATTGATTGATTTTTAAAGAATGTTTAATGAAGACATTTTTATCGTCACTATGCGCTTTAGTTCAACATTTTAATCTATTGTCCAATTTCTTACTTTACTGTTTTCTGTTTAGGTTTGTAGAGCGTGGTTCTTTTTACAATCGAAGCTGAATTTCTATTATTTCTGTTTTTATATAATATCGGAATTTTTTTACATGTATGGGATTGTTTACATTTTCTAATTTCTTTACAAAAATGCGCCTGCATAAGTTTTCTTTTCAAGAATCACTTGTGCAGTATGCCAGTTTTACACGAACTATTTAGTCATATTATTGTGCACTGATTACCCTCAGCTCAAACACTACAAACCATCGTTGAATGTCATCTTAAGGAAAATAAACATTAGCGATTAATGCAGCAGAAAAAAGGAGCTACCACTGTTGGATATGTTTATTAATGATAACGAAAAATATTATGTAAATTCCGGCAAATGACTAATGACTTCCCGGCCTCTAAACAGCATTGTCAAATACCTGACCCGGTCATTTTTTAGACATGGAACGCCCAAAATGCACCCCGGTGTTAACTGATATTGGAAAAAGCCTTTTGGAGCAGCCGCAAATTATCATTTTTCATTAGAGTTATGGTTGATGAGGTCGTTTTCCGTCCCCTTTGTTACCCTGAATGTAGTTTCAGGCAATGATAGATCGAATTAATAGAATATAAATTGGGCACCTGTGCCTGCGTGGCAGCAGGACTTGTCAGGTCTTCAGCTACAGCATTATTGTCCCTGTCTGTTAACACACATATTTGAATTGCTTGTAAAAAGTAAATACGAAATCATTACAAAAAGCATTTCCTTCCATGTGAAAGGTTCCTAGACGCAGCAAACGATAGTGCACATATCATCTCATATCATATCATATTAATTCATTTAAAACTCAAATATTCATAGGTTTTTGTATCCATCTGATTAACTTGTACCCAGAAGCTTTGCAGCCATTAGAATAAAGGAAATTTGAGTTATATTTGAAACCATCTATCCAAATCTTCATTAATGAATATTAACTACTCAAGTGGGTCAATCCCACCAAGCAAAAGAATGTGGCAGAAGTGGTATTGTTGGTTCTGTCCGAATTACCTCACGTGTCTGTTTGATAGATTTGAGTTATAGATTTCATGATGACTTCAAATATTTTTTTCCTTTGTCTACTTTCGTTTATTTTGCACAGCTTGACTGAAGCAGGTAATAAAGTTTTAAATATCAATTTTCCATTATCACTCATTCTTTCAACGTTTTGATTATCAGTTTTTTTCAAATTTATAACAGGATCAATAGCCTCGATGAACACAACCAATAAAACAACTGCTGAGGCTCAACCAAAAAGAGTTAATTCGACGTCGAAACACTCTTATCTTTTAAATAGCGAAAGGAGCAGTTTGGAGGCGATTTCAGATGTCGCAGTAAAATCCCCCACCCATTTAAAGGTGAAATATTTTCTTTAATAATTTAATTGTTTGAAGCAATTTATTTGAAAAATTTATTGCTGCTCTTTATTAAATTCCTGATGATTTCCCAGATTGAGTGGGTGCTTTTTCAGGTTTATGTTAACACACTAAACTAAAAGGTTCAGTATTGAATACTTTATTTCTTCAATATTTAGATCAATAATTTGGGGTCGTTTGTTCTAGCATGTCATTGCTGTTGTTTTAAACACCTTTTATCATTACTGGGGGTGGATCAAATAAAAATAACAATTTTGTTGAAACTAAAAATCCTGCTGAGGTGTAAGTAAATATATCAGTTGTGTTAACTAAACATACAATAAAAAATAAAATTAATCCAGGGTCAGCAATTTCAGTTAATTTAATGGTGGTTAAAATAACTGTCATATAAAAACATACTTTGAAAACTTCCGATTGCGACTTTTTAGAATGTCCCTGAAAAATCCATTGATCTGAATAGCATCTTATCTAAAGCAGCTTTAGAAGCGATTGGTGATGCAGTAATGGCTGAAAAGCTGAACAAAAAATCGAAACTATCCACAGCCACTTTACCTTCGACGACTAAATTGAAATCAAACCGTACAGGAAATATTGCAGAAAAAGATATATGTGTAAACTAGACTACATTTTTGGAATTGTAGCAAATTGTAAATACTATGAGCTGAAACGGATTGTTTTAAATCTAAAGTAACCTTAAATAAAATTATTCTTAAATCATCGGCTATATTTCACTTTAGCTTCTTTAATGACTATTTTTTAATTTTTTAAATAAAACTTTACGCTACGTAAATTAAAAAATTATTTCACTATATTTGGGGTAAAAGTGGTTCCTAATGCAAGTGTATTGTAATGTTTGTATTGTAAATTATTTTCTATGGTTGTTTGTCGTAAAATCTGGATTTCATACATTGAAAAATATTGTTCATTGGGCCATAAAAAGTTTAGTTTCAGTTTTTTGAGCAAACGATAAAATAGCACCCACATGTTTTATGCCGACTGACCAACAGAAGTCCAAACCATTTCATGTCATCTCAGCAATGCACTTATTAATTAATTAATCAATAATGGCGAAAAGTGACTGAGAGTTTGCACTCTACACAAATCAGATTGCCTGGAAATCGTATATGCTGGAAAACTCTTGATTATTTAAGATTTTTGGATCTCATACGCGTATTTTTCATATACCTACTTCATTACCGCCTACATCAAAGTATATCATTAACGTTGCTATTTCAATTGAGACACTCTAAGTAACAGTTTCCGATATGATATACCTCGTATGCGACTGACAAACAGGAATATCTGAAGACTGCATTTTAGGTTTTGAACCAAGCAGAACTTTATATGAAAAATAACTTTTTTTGTAAAATTAATAATAAAAAAGTTTTCCATATGGTACGAACTGAAGTAGACAATGTCTAATATCGTTTTAAAATTATAAAATATTTAATTAATAGTTTTCCAATTTATTTCGTTCGAAACTTAATTCTGATTTTTTATTTTTATAGCTACGATATCTGTAAGTACTCATAAAAACTTCAAATTTTAGATGTAGCAAGGTACCGTGCATTAGTTTTGTATGGAGAAATATGTTCTGTGTTACCCAGAATCCATCTCATCCAATCCCAGGAAAAAGTATAGATAAAATAAAATGGATTTTATTTTTGAGACATTAGTTTTAAGGTAGAGGCACAAGATATACAGGGCGTCCCGTCAGAAGGGTACTGCGATATTCTTTGAATCAAAAGAAGACGATCTGACCTAACTCTTATTAACAAAAAATGTCTGGCTCCTCTGCAATTAATGGTCAAAGCTCTTCAAAAACATTTTTCTTTTTTCAAATATCGGAAAAATGGTACGATGTACTTTGGGGAAACTGTTGTGAATTTGTTCTTAAGTATGACTCATATTGTGATGAAACGATCGAGTTCAGCCGTTTTGGAGAAGTGGTGAATTCTTGAGTGTCGTGGTACAAAAACTATCTGAACTTTTTATTTAGTGGGTGAAATCAACTCATTTTTTTTGGTTGATTCATAGTTTGCATAGTTTTTGCGAAAAAAAATATTTCTGTTTCCTTGCCACTTAACAACGTAATACATGTAACAAACAAACTGTTACATGTATTTTACGTTGACCTTTAGAAATTAATTTTGACGGAGATTGAATGTGTGCAATTTGATTTGAATTGGGTTTGAAATTGGAGACGGCAGTGGGTTGAAAAACAAGACACATTTTCAAAACTATGAATAATACGAAATTATAACGTAATGCACGCAAATAACGTCCAAGACATGGGAAACGTATGTGAGTTGTTGTAAAACTATTCTGATCTTGCGTATGTGCGATTATTACCGATTCACCTTGTATAATCAGAGGTAACCAAAAGGACAGCTTGTAATATACAATGAATTGCAAATGGAGGGGCTATCGAGGGTCCCAAATAAAAAAAATCAGCTAAACCTCCGAGCGTTAATCTAATTGCAAAAAAAGCAATATTTTGCATGTTTTATCTAAAGATCAATCAGAGCTGTGGGTGTTGGAAGTTCACAGGTCAGAGCCAGGTCATAAACCTGCCTTCAGTTATTCTAACGGTGTGGCTCGATATAAATTAGACATGTTTGCTTGCTAACGCTTAAATGATCGAAACTTTTTAATATTTAGAAAAAAAAATGGGGAAACTCATAGATCTGCCCCTAGTTATACAGCAAGACTATACTTTTGAATGATCCTCGCGGCAATGTGAGAGGTATTCGCATCTGACATCGGCCGGTCCATATTTCATAACTAACGCCATAAATAACCATTTCTCGGACATTTTTCAGAAGCCGTCAATCATTGCAGCCGCAAGTGGTTCTCTAACCACAAAATAATGATAAAGCACGAGAGCAATTATTCTTCGAAAACCACTGATGCAAGGCTATGGGTTTGGAAATCGTCCAGATTGCGTGAGAACCCACTGATTGAATAAGCGGCCTTGCCTTAACAGGATCGTATAGGGGAACATTATAGTTGAAATTTTCTTTAATTTTTCCGACCGTGAGCTACTGGGTAAACTGGATTAGATAGGCAAAGTAGCCGTTGATAAATGAATTCGAAGCGTTGACAAAATAGTTTTTTATATGCAATAGTATGCCACTTGTTAAAAACCGCTATTTTAGAAACTCATAAGCAAGAAGATTTTAAGAGACGTTAAACAATTTAGAAAGCGTGATCGATATTTCTATGGTTTTAAATGGTTGGGACATTATTTATATATTATTATGAGGGGTTGCTCAGAAATCAGGTTTTCCTTGTGTTAACGCTTATATTTTAAATGCGGCTCTTTGTAATCAGGGAGTTGATATAAATAATTACACATCAACCTTCAAAATGTTTGCGCTTATTGATAATACCTTGTATACTATTCAATTAAAATTATTGTAAATCATCATCAGTCAGTGCGTTTTTGTGTCAATGCTTTAAAAATTATAAAATTATTCATGCGAAATACATCAGTTTCCATATTCTCGTGTTTCTTCTACTAGTAACGAAAGTAACAAGAAACGAATATATTTTAACGAATACCTACTTATGTTGTCAGTAACAAATACATATGGGAACAGTTTTTCGTTACTTTTAAATCACTACTTGTATAATTCTTTGTAGGTTTAGAGTACCTTTTACCCTCTTGATGATTTGGACCGCCACTGATATTTTAGTCCTGAAAATTTTTATTTTCTGATCAATTTGAAAAGTTTTGCCGTTCTTCTTGCTTCTGTATTTGTATACGTTTTCGTGCAACCAAAATAGGACAATAGTCAATGCCACAACAATAAACTTTAAAAAGCGACATTAAACACATTTCAAATTCACATAGGCATTCACACATTCCAATAAAACTGAGCTTTAAAGGGGATTGCAAAAAAATGAGTAGGTATACAGTCAAAAATGCGAGACAAAATAGAAGAACTTCACAAAAATATGTCTATTTTAATATGTAATTGTTTTGACAATTACATATTAAATAATATGTAATTAATACATTAATATGATGTATAGATAATACATATATTTTAATACATTTTATGGTTCTATCCAATACATTGTGTCCAAGATAAGAATACATTACATAAAGATTTCTGAAACCGTAAGATATACTAAGTGTGTTAAATTAAGGAAAAGTTGCACAGTCAGAGGGTCACATACATTGTATTTTCGAAAATCAAGATTTTTAGAAAAAAAATTATTTTTCAGATTTTCGTTTTTTTTTAATTCTTAAAGTTATTTCAACTATAAAATTTAAATTATAAAATAAACAATAGATACGAATCACGCCTAGGTAATCCACGAATCAATAGAGATCGTTCTATAGGCGCTTGTCTTATATTAAAATTAAGTTATTTCATTTTGTTTTATACTCAATTGCTTGGCTTTCAAACAGTTTTAGATATCAATTAAAAAATTAAGTTTTTCAAAAATGTTAGGAACATCGATCGTAAGAGCGATAGCGAACATTCAGTCAGACAGCTTAAATTTTTCTTTGCCCCATAGGTGTCAGTTTTTAAGGCTACTGAACATTCACCATTATTTTAAGGGCTCGTCATTTCCTTGAAGGCTCGGGAGGAAACAAAAACGTTTCTGATTAAATTGTCAAATTAATATAACTATGACCAGAGAAACATAGTAATCATACTTTTTAGATCAAATAAAATAAATATTTCACGAAATATTCCTTGATATTTTCATTTTGTCTGCATGGGTGCGTGAAACAATTTCAAAAGAACAGAATCGCGTCTATTTTAAAAGTGGAACTAATAATGATACGCATTATTGCCAGTGACAAATTAGCTTATGTAAGTGAAATGAGAATATATTTCACAATATTTTACTATTAATTAAACTAAAGCACCATATTAAGAGTTCTGAACTCGCCGAAAAGTTTGCCAGTTCCTTATACTCACAGACATTATACGAAATGAAGCCAATTAACTCACCCTTTAATCACCCTGTATTTTTCAGCTGATAAACCATCGAAAGTTTTCAATAGTTTCTCCAGCATATAAACTGGATCCAAACCAATTAGTACAACGTTTTAGCACATACTTTTGAATAGTCTTCTAACTTCTTCTAACTGTTTTCTTCCAGTTGAAATGCTGAATTTATTATGTGGGGCAATCATCCACTATAAAGTTATATACGAGCATATGGCTTTTTAAAGCAAGCCATGTCGACCTGCATTAGTAATAAGGATGTTAACGTGTAGTGATATGAACGTGTAGAACCTTTTTGTAGACGACGTTGCCTTATTGCTTTATAAAACTTAAGGGGTTTTTCTTCCTTCTTTATTTAAGTTGCTGATACATATATAAATTTGTTTTATATATGAGATCTAAACAAAAATAACAGTCGAATATAGTTAGGAACTTGAAAATTAATGCAACAAGATTTAAAAAGTAAATCTCGCTTAAAGAAAAAATGAAAATAGTTTGCGAAATATTCAGGAACAACTTTGAAAAGTAACGAGGACTTAAATATTGAACGGAAAATGTGGGAACTAACTTTAGTGTTCCCAAAATGTCGTATAAATAGTGCAATTTGGACAATAAAAGAAATAAATTAACCATCAATGAATTATATTGCTTGAGATGCGTTACACATATTTTCGTTAAATTTTGATAATGACTTTTAGGAAACTTTCATTTTTACATATTGTTCCATCTAGCCGAACAAAGTAATAA